ATAGCCTCTTGTAAGTTGAAAATTATACCCTTTCCACTCGCGAATTGCTAGATTTATATGAATTTGAAATTGGAATGCACCCGATTGGAAAGGGTTATATAAAAAAAATCAAGCTGTCGATGGCAGTTAATAGAGCAAAAATAAATGTATTTAATCCATAACTTCACTTATCTTTTCTCTAAAAGAGTATTTTTTTGCGCGTGAACTATAAACAAAACACAGAATATATTGACCTTAAATACAACAATTACAATACAATCTATATTTAGTATTTTTCTACAAATCTGAAATACCAGAAATCGCCTAATAATCTAGAAAAACATTTATTTAGAATCGAAACAACAACTAACGAGCGATAACCTTAGAGAAGATGTGTTTTTACACCCACGAGCCATTGTTTGATAACGATGTTAATAATTGCAAAACAATATTAAAAAAAATCAGTATAAATCATTGTTATAATTCACAATTTTATATGTGATATAATTAAACATGATAAACAAATAAAATAATAACAATGAATTTGTCATAAATAAGTTGTAAATTGAGTTCAATAGATTGTATAAGTATAATTGGATACATAATGAGATATATAGTAAATCCCAGTTAAGACAATTCTGCAGGACAGGACCAAAAGCGACAAAGTACTTAATAAAGTGACGTGTTATGCGATAAGTCGTATTAAGCATTATAGACCTTAACGGTGTCGCATAATGTCATTAAAAAAATGAAGATTTTAAAAAATTATTTTAACTGCAATGATTATACCAGCTTAAATTTAAATTAATCAATTTAAACATAAACCAATTGATCCGATTTAGACATTATATTTCTATTCTTTTCTACTTCTTCTTCATGATGAAAAAAAGGTGCAAAAAAAACTGCACTACTTTATATAAACAATAAATAACCTATGTTTTCGGAAAGTTCTTGACTCCCAAAATAAGCTTACAGAATTTTATTTAAATAAAGTTTAAATTACAAGAGTAACAAAATTAAAAAAAACTTCAAATTAGTTCAATTCCTAAAATTACTTTGAGAGTGAATGATTATTTGACAAATTGAAAAAATATTTAAAAATTACAAAAGAAATGATAAATTCGTTTATTTCATAAATTTTTTTAATAAACTTATATTCGGTTTGACCATTTGCATTTAATGCTTTTCATTAAATTTTGTCTATATAGAAATTTACATAAACAACAAAGATTTTTTTAAGAGATATAAAAGAAACTCAACCGCGTTTTTTATGAAATTTACTGCAGTTAACTTAAAAGTTAATTTAAAAATTTTAAAAATATATTTCAACTATAATGGTTATATAAATCTACAATACAGTTCCTGTAAGGCCAGAATTTTGTGCATGTATATAGCCATAGAGAATAATCAACAATGCCACCACCAAAATGATCATATAAAAAACTCACCATTTGCAGAATTTATTGACCTGCAACATCCCTTTGCCTCTTTTTGAATCCAGGAAATATCGTCGCACTTTTTTGAAAAATACATGACTTTCTAAACACTATCACTATGTTTTAATCTAAAACCACACATAATTTGTATTTTATTTACACAACTCACTGATCAAAACATTATTCACTGATAAGAAAACACTATTTCGTTCATTCATTTCGTCACGTACACTTTCTTCAAAACTCATTACTTCGGAATGCACTTTGATAATTTTGTTTGATGATGATTGTCTTTGGCACCAGAAAGTCTATCTTAAAATAGTTTGAAACAAAAATTTGATTTTGAACAATGTAATCAAGTGCCCGAAAACTTTTAGCTGTTAACTTTCAAAAATAGCTTCAGAGGACATAATATCCACTAGAACTCTTTACTTTTACTAATTTATTTTTTATATAAAAAAACTGCTACTGGCAACTTGTACCCATTGTCATTTATTAATTATATTTACTAAGGATGATACAAACTACTACAAGCTCTTCTAAGGACAATTGTAAAGTATTTGATGAAATAAAATTAAAAAAAAAAAAATAACAAAAGTAGTATTGAATGAATTCATTTGGCAATTTGATTATATTTTACGTAATTTTATTCATGTAATAATTAACAATAAAATTTTGAAAGCTATAAAATTATAGCAAAATATAATATTTATAAAAAAGGCGCAAATTTTATGAAAAACGAGGAAAGTTACTTGATGTATCTTTCTCAATAAGGTTTTTTCTTCGAGAGACAGTAGAATATGATTTTTAAAAAAACAACTCCCAAACGTTTTATATTGCTTTAACATTAAATATTATTTACTATTTCAGGGTTCAAGTGCATTTTGGAGAAGAAAAATGCGAACCTTGCATGGAATTATGGACGTCAACAAGGACGGAATCTGGTCCTACGATGATGTACTATTGATGACTGAACGTTTTACAGCTTTGGGACATCTTTCCGATGCTGAGAGCGAAGAATTCAAAAATATTATGACGGTAATAAGAAAATAAATAAATGTTGACGCCAAAGAAAATAATTTAAAAGAATAGGATTTAGACAAAAGTTTTAAAAAGTTTGGCAACTAACTATTTCCCATCGCTTGTTGCCAGTAATACGATGGGATTTTCCCCTTGTGGCCAACTTAAGACTCCAATATTACAGGTCTCAAGCATAAACGCCACTAGGGGGTCTTTAAGAAAAGAAAAATTTTAGAATTTAGAAATTTAGAGAAGAAATAGTTTAGAATAAATCAAATATGAAAACGTTGAAAATAAGTTACTTTAGAGATTTGTAGTAGTATATAGCGAAGATAGTATGTATAGTAAAAAATTTAAATCTTATTTACATGCAAAGTTGCACATTTTATAGAACTGAAGTAAATATTGAAACGGTGTTAAGTATTTATATATTAGCCCTTTTCTTTGGATAGGAGACATATGGCTCTTTTCCTTAGACCCATGGTTAAGAAATTAGTTTTTAATAAGAGCAAAAACGTTATTTTAGAAATAATCATTATTTTAGAAATTAACTTTATAATTTATTAAGTTAAATCTTAATTCATATTGATTAAATTTACTATTTACTAAGATCGGAAAGTTTTGCAACTCGCCTTAAGACAAATTTTATAATATAATTGGAGTTATTATATAGATGACCAAAGTATAATTGATTTTAATTGTTTATATATTTTTTAAATAATCACCAGCGCACATGGGAGGAGCAATGGGGCGAGGTATCTCCTTACAATTTGGTAACAGTTGAAAAATACTTGGAAGAAATGCATCACATGTTGAATGATAAAGATCTCAAAAAGAAGATTTCTAGTTTCCTGCCATATTTATTCAAGGTAAAAACCGATGTTTTTAATTAGCAAATAGAATTCACCAAATATTTATGATATAGTAAAATATTTTCAAATGAGAACTTATTACTCATCAATAATTCAAAGTCAAAATGAACTCAAAAATAAAATCAATATATCGTTGGAACCACAAATGACACCAAATTACCACCGATAATGCCAAACATGTATGTAGGTTCTTTCTGCTGCTAAACAAAACTGTTACCTGTGAAGGCTGATCGGTAAAACTGATGAAGACGTTTGATGTATTTGTTTATTTTATGACTTCTTGTACACTTCACATATAACTTTACTTAAACAACTGAACTTGAATATGATTAACTGATATACAACTGACTAACTCGACACCATTGATAACTAGAATACTACTGACTCATGTTGATCTGAATTTTATGGAAACTAAATGACGACTGACCTATATTGATTTGAACTTTATGGAAACTAAACTATGACTGACCTATATTGATCTGAACTTATTGAAAACTTAACACTTTACTTAGTTGTTAGGGGGCGTCCATTAATCACGTGAGCGAGTTTTTGAGGATTTGTAGACCCCCTCTCCCCCTTGGTGATATTTGGTGATATTCAAAATTGAATAATAACAACTATTAAATTATTACCATTTACAGGCTGTTGACAAAGATAAATCAGGATACATATCCGTGCAAGAGTTCAAATTATTCTTTGCCTGTCTCGGTCTATGCCAGGACGCTGCAGCTGTTTCCTTTGCAATTATCGACACAAACCAAGATGGAAAAATATCTATGAAGGAATTTGTTAAGCATGGCAGAGAATTCTTTGTTACTGAAGACGAAAATAGAATCTCAAAAATGTTCTGGGGCCCACTTTTGGAACGCTAATTAATTCATAACTAGATGGTACATTATCATTTATACTTTTTGCATAATTTCAAAGTTTTAGTTATTTTTGATCATTTTTAAATTCCAATTTTTTCATAATACAATTTGACTGCTTATAAATAATATACTGATTACTTATTAAAAGTAATAATGTCTCAAATACTGTTGAGAATTACATATAATTATTTCTGACTATTATTAAGTTAACAAAACTAAAAAAAATATGTTCTGTTATATTTTATTTACTTTTCATACTTTGCTTCCCTTTTCAAAAAGCGTGAAGTTTGTAAATTAAATTTTAATTTTAAATTAAATTTCAAAACAAAACCCATGAGTTGTTAAAAAAGAAATAACTTGATAAGAAAGTGAGACAATAATGTTTCCTACATAATAAGAAGCAACTAGTTTAAAAAAGTGATATTCTATGAAAAGCATCAAATTTGTTTATCTATAGATTTATTATTATTAAAACTTGTTATAGAATTAAAATAACCAATATATAATTTTAAAATAATTAATTTAGTCGAAACAAATAAAATCTTAAAGCTTATACTTGGTCACATCCATAGACAACATTCCAAAAAATATTTATATTGATAAACATTTGATTTACAAGAATCTAGATGTACTTTTGATACTCTTGTGATATGATAAAAATATAATAAAAAAATTAATAATAATACATTTTTTATTTTATCAAAAATATTTGCATTTGGTGTTTGTACAAAGCAATTATATTAATTAAAAACTAGTTTTAAATAAAACAAGCGAGAACAATGCAATAGATCAATTAAAATTATCTGAAGGATGTTTTCACAATTAAAAACTAATGATTACTTATAAGAAAATAATTAAAATTAATTGTACATCACTTAAATCTAAATAGAGATAGTATTTTAACTACACTAAATTTAAATGATTTTTAATCAATTTGATATCTTGCATAAGTTGAGTGATCTGCGCAGTCCTGAAAATTTATTTGAACTATTAGAAAACAAAATACTAATATAGTCAAAAAACTAATGCCAGAATTGATTAACTTATCATTTTGTATAATAAAGCGATATAATACTTTGTTAATAATAGAGCAGAACGTGGCTTAAACAGGTCTGCGAGGGAAACAGATTACCACCATTATCTCAAAAACAAATTAAGTACAGTGGTACCTCACCCTAAGCTGGAGTTATACCCTTTATCAACTCCTTTTCTGTTTAAACACAGTACATCTATGGTGGTACATTCTTGTCATCCTCATATTTTTTAATAATTTCACATTTTAATTCAAGACACGTGGCCCATTCTTTAAACCCACATTTATAAAAGTTATATTCGTGTGCTTAAATATGAGTACATGCCAAAGCGAGATTCATGACAGTAGTAGAAGTTGATAAAGATTTTATGTTCATTATTCACTCCTGGCCATTAAGCTTAAATTGATTAAATAATGTAGTTATTATTTTGAAAAACCTCTTTAAGAATAAAAATTAAATAGTGGTCTATTGCCCCCTGGCTGTCCGCATATGCAGTAGAGAGGACCAGATGAAAAATTTGACAAAAATAACAAGAAAAAAACACAATTCCACAATGATTAGAAATTTTACTGAGCATAGTTCGATAGTTGTTTATTTAATGTGTTATATGTTGTTCTGTTGTTGGTTTGGTTTTAATAGTATAATTACTAAAACTCAAACTAGACCATTGTGCCCTGCCCTATCCTATTAAAATTCTAAAATTCAAAACAATATATTCAATAGATCAATCATTATGGTAGAATATCATTGCAATCAGTTTTTAATTTAATACCCATATATAAAACATACCTTTCTTGTAGATTAAGTTTAATAGCTTCAAGTCGGTTGTCGTTCAGGTATAGATCTTTCTTCTGATCTTTACTCTCATACTGATTTATCTGTGATAAAGTGTTTGTTAAAATATAAAGATTTGAAGTGATTCACTATTTTAACCCCTTCGCTACTAAGTTTGTTACGACTTTTGTTTCAAGATTTATCACTCAGGGTTGAATAATTGAGAATTCTGATTTGTTTGTGTGGTTTTTAGTTCTTTAGATAGGTGATTTATATTTTTTGAATACATTCTCGTCCATAATAACTAAAAAAATCTTAAAATAATTAGTTTAACAAATATTTGCGCGGCTTGGTGGCTCGTATAGCAGCGTCACTTCTGTATAAAACACACTCGTTGCGAAAGGGTTAAAAAAGATTGTAAAGTATTAATAACAAGAGCATACAAATCAGGTATCAAATAATTTGAGTCGATTTACACAAATTATTTCTCATATTTTTAAACATGATAGTTCAATTTCATAAAATATAAATCAAAATAAGCCAAACCATCAAATTATCATTTAAATATATCTTATATTAAATAAAAATTACCATCAATTTTTGTTTCTCAATATTTTGCCTGGCCGAGAGTATCTGTGCTTTAAAATAATTAACTTTGGTCCCTAATTGCTTCACTTTATCGAAAAATTCTCGTTCTGCTTGAGTAACCTTTGGCACAAGTCGGCTTGATGATCGTAAAATCATTTCAGCACTAAAAAGAAAAAAAAAAGTTTGTACTCATTATAAAGATTCTGCTACTAACAAAGTCTTTCAACAATACAAATAAAACAGCTATAACTACAGTATATAGATTGAATAAAAATATAACATACTAATCAGCAAAAAAAAAACTATAGAATATATTAATAGATTGATAAATCAGAAAATCATTACCATAAAATTACAGAAAAAACTTAGGATTTTTATAATTATAAATAAGTTGATATGTGTGTGTGTGAGAGTGTATTCTATACTTGAAATTCTAGAAAGGAAATATTTAATAAATAATATACCGTTTCGTTAAGCTTTCCTGTTTCTCGTGTACTTCTTCATACTTGTCAGCCAATTTTTCAGCTCTATTTTGAATATCAACTTTTTCATCTACCAACTTTTTTATATCCTTCAACTGCTGCTTTTTTAGCATCTGCAGTGTGTGAATCTATAAACACAGTTTATTACATGAACTTGTTTTATGTAAATGTGAATTAATTAAAAAAACAATTTTATTTAGAAGCATGCATTCAAGTAATTTTATTTCAAATCATTAATATTTCTTGACCAGGTTTTATAAAGCATTAAGTTTCAAAATAAAAAAAACATTTTTTTTATTTGTACAATGTATTATTTTGTAAAAGTCTTTCAGATACTTTATTATATAAAGTTATAGCTTCAAAAAATTAAACTAAGCTATTATAATAAAACTATAACTTACCCTCTTTTCAATCTCTTGTCGAGCCTCAATAAGCTTTGTGAAATACTCGTCACGAAGAACTTTCAATGCTTTTGTTACAACCTATTTTATAGAAAAATTATGGATAAATATAAATAGAACTAGGTGTTAGTAGCTTTTTGATTTAAGGTAAGCATGCACTTCTCAATATGTGTTAATAATCCATTTAATGAATAATAATTTGATTTGTACATCATCTACATATCTAACAGTCTAATTGTTTACGAGTCTAAGTGTCTACCCGTTTACCTCAGCACCTGCCTGCCTATTCACTCATTTACATGTCTACTTGTCTACCTGTCTACTTGTATAGCAATCTACCTGCACACCTAAATACCTTGATAAAATACTTGATACTACTGACAAAGTTTATCATGTTTTCATTTTGCTATTAACATTTTTCGACAAAACTCTTACTCGCTCAAAGCTCGTATCTCGAATTCTACTCGTATGTCGATGCAACGAATCGCTCTTTTAGCGGCTTGTATTTAAAAAAAACTATGTCGAGGTACCACTGTATATGAAAAAAAATACGCATGCATACATAATTTTTTTTAATTTATGGTCAAATGTTTAGAAAACCTTGAAACGTTAAGATATGCAAAAATTTTCATGTTTTCAGTAACTGTAACATACCCTACAGAAAGTTGAAAACTAGAGCATGCACATATTTTAATAAATATTTCTTACGTCGTAGGTCTGAGAAGCACTCATATCGTCTCCCAACTTCAAGATAGGCTGTGTGAATTTTTGTTTCAATATGGAACTAATATGTTGATCGAATGGTTCTTTTAATAGCTGAGAAACGCAGAGAAATATATACAATTAATAATTAATTCATTATTATATTTATAAAAATATTTGATACAGTTTACATAGTTTATAATCATAATACATTCATACTATGATTATAGTCATACCTTCTTCGTAGGTGAAGCAATATTTTTCACTACGCTATCTGGAATGTTTTCCTTCTGTGGTAAAGCCAATGGCAAGCATGTGAGGGGTAAACTAATAACCTGACAAACAAATGATGATTTTAGGTATACATAGAATTTTATGTTGAAATGATAATATTTAACAAGAACTATGGAGAAAGATAGTGAGGCAAAAATTGTCCCTCTCAACTAATTTTATTACATTGTTGATAAAAAAAAAATATATGCGCTATATAATTATATACAATTTAATAAAATTAAATTGTTAAGTTATCTTATGAAATGTATATGACTAATGTACGTGTATACAAAGTCAAACAATAAAATATAAAAAGAAGTCTTTATATTTTCTTATCAAAGTGGAAACATATTTGTAAATTATATTATCAAGTAAAAAATCAAATTGAAAGAAAGAAGAGCTACACTTAGGTGTGATGAAACTAAAATTTATATGAAATGAGTTGCAGATTAAGTAATTTTAAAAATTATAGTATCTACTCATAACTCATATTTTTATAAGTATGTGTTTAAATTTATTATTTTTATTTATTATTATTGGAGCTTGGTTGAGATATTTTACCACAAGGATATTTTTTATTTTATTTTATTACCAGATAGATCTGACCTCGCACCATCAGATTACTTTCTGTTTTGATCTTTCACATGGTAAACAATTCAATAACTATGATGGTGTCAAATTGCACCTGATTCAGTTTTTTGCTAATAAAAACTGAAAGTTCTATGAAAGTGAAAAGAATACTACTTGAAAAACATATGTTTGATATTCTAAAAATAATCCGCACTTACTTAGTAACCAACCTGATATTATCATTACAATTATTTCTATAGAACTTACTTGACCATTTCCTAACAATGTTATCAAAGTAGGAGGGCAGCCAAATATTGTAAGTCCCACAACTCCAGTTTGCTGGGTAAGATTTTCTGGAGTTGCCTTAGATTTCCTTGATAAATTTGTGCACAATAAGTATTCGGCACTGCACCTAATGCTGAAATCTGGAGCATTTAGTTCTAGGTCAGCATCTAGAGTGAAAACAAAAATTAGTTTTAAAATAATTAACAAATATAATAAATAAACACAATTTGTTATCACACCAACAATTACAAAAATATTTTTTAGATAATTTTATGAATACAACACTAAAAATAGTATTTAACATAATTAACTTCCCGAAGAAAAAATTATGTTTTCGCTAGAAAATCCGATTTGCTAATTTTATGTTTTCACATGACATGCTTTTAGAAAATACTCTGCGTATGTATTAGGCAACTAGGTATACTTATAAATCACTCATAAATTTAATATTGTTTTCTTATTGATTAAGTGATTATTTCAATAAACCAGGAAGTTCATGCAACTTGTGAAGTTCACAAAATGCCACTTAATTAATTCATCTAAATAATTACCATCATCAAGTTCTAGAAATTGGTCTAGCTGGTGAACAGCAGGAACAAGAACTGAATGTACTCCAGAACTGTGATAGACTAAGTACCTAAAACAATAATTGCAATAAGTTATAATAAGTAATAAATGAATTTCTGAATATAACTAATAATATAAATCTAACCGTTTTAACAAAAATAAATGGTAATTTTTATGTGTTTTTTATAATTTTACTTGGATACACAACATATACAAATTTATTTTTAAAAAAAGCCAAAATATTTAAAAGCAAATGCACACAAGTAAAACCTAATTTTACTTTATAAATTAAAATTTTATTAAATAATTTATTAAATAACTTTTTAAAATTTTTATTAAATTTTATATTTACTTTGCCATTTTCAGCTTACTTTAACAATTCCATATTGAATAATTTTTTTAATTTGCATCGGAATGTTTTGTTACAGCAATTGATAAACATGAAGTAACAGAGTGTATGCACTTCAAATCCCATAACAAATAAAAGAAAAATACTCTGTAGATGTACTTTCAATAAAAAAACAAATTAAAAAAAAGAAAATAATGATATGATTTACTGACCTCGCATTACTAATAGTATCCTTATGCAGTCTTAGAGGACAATAATCCAATGGCCCTTTGGAAACTGCTGATTTTAAGTTCAAACCTAATTGAAGTTCCACGCTTTCCAAAACAAAAAGCTTATGATCGGCCTGAACAAATGACTACAAAATATAATAAAAAACATGAATTATAAAAGCAAGAAAAATAATATATGTAGTATAAAACATTGAAGACAATTTAAGTTATAACTATAATTATAATTATAAGTAACCCTTTTGTTATAAAAGATGATAATATTTGTATTTAAATCCGTTAAGTATTATTATAGCTAAAGTAAGAAAACAAATTCATGAATATGAACAAATTGAATGAATATGAATTTAATTGTGTCTATAATATGTATTATTAATAACGCATTTTCAAATATTGTTGAATGACAATATTCAAAGGAATACTAAATCTAGATTGATTCTTAGATCGTATTTAGTCATTATATGACCAACTACACGACTGTATTATTCATAATATTTTATTTCTTCCGAAGCGATTGATCTCTTGTTGTGAATTTTTATAACCAAGTTCCAAGTTCAGTAATCAAAAAAAGCATGTAACCCAAAATTTTCATCCTCCTACTTCGGATTCCGATTTCGTAATTAGTAAAAGTGACCAAATAATTTTTTTCCATATTAGAAAGAACATATTTATTAAAAATTGAATATTAAAATCAAAACATACAATAGTTTTTAGAAAGTAGAAACTAAATATATCTATGGCAAAACTATAATTTTTTTCACCAGAGTTTTTGAAATCCCACTGGATTCGCGAAGTATGTTGCTACATAATTCAAAAATGAATGTTCAGATTTTGCTTCGTAATTTAAAAATTAATGAATTAATAAAGCGCAGTAATACTATATCAAAACCTCGAATATCCAAATGAACCAATTCAATTGAAATGAAATCAGTTTCAGATTAGGCTGGCACTAGCAATGAATGGAACATCTAAATGTGGCATGCTTTACAGTGGGTAAACCATCTGTATAATTATCACATTCATTTATACACCACATACTTCCTCATTCACAATTAGTTAGTTTTTTATCCTTAACATTTTCTAGAAATAATTTTTATTGCTGAACAACATTTGTCTGGTCAGCTAGTATTTATACACATTTATTATAAAATTAATACAGATATGTATATTAAATATTTTTTATAGAAAAGGTACAAATATAAAATATTTAAGCAGAGAAGTGACTCCACTCACTATTCGAACCCAAGCCATCAATAGTATATACTGAATGTACATAGATGCCATTACTAAGACTAAAAAATCCAAAATTAACAAAAATTTAAATACGTAATTTAAATAGGTGTAAATGGCATTTTGTTTAAAGTATGTTCCAATAATCGACTTAATCAATTTTTTAGAATAGAATTTGCAACGGTTTATTAAAAAATAAACTAATAAATAAATGATTAGTTGGAATCTAAATTTTGGATCATAAACTCTATGAATAGATTCAATAAAAAACCGTCCAAAATTATTCGTTATAATTTACTAATCATAATCAGCACGATTTCCAAATAAAATCTTTTGAATATTTTTTCAAATTTAACAAAAATCACACATACATACATACATACATCATTTTTTTCTAAAGTATGCCAAAATGTTCAGAAAGCTGAATCAAAAAATGCAAAAATTTTCATTTTCGATTATTTTGCAATTACTTTGACTTATTCTACGGGAAGTTAAAAATAAAGATAAAAAATTTGACTTTACCTTGCTATCATCTGATTGGATCGACATAAGAACACAATGATGCAAAACACCTTTACTTCCCGCAATTACCAATATTGGTGGCACACAATCTAAAACCAGGATAGCACAACAGTCCAATCCATAATTATCTGATGTATCCGGCATCATGGAAAAGGGTTTTGATATTTCTGGCCTAAAATAAAAAAAAAATCATTTTAGTCATAAAAATATTCACTAATATAATAGATAAAAGCATGTGTCAGTATTTTAGCAAGTATCTGCTAGATACTGCTTCTGGTAAACTTCTACAACTAATTGTAAATTTTATTTAAAAATTCCGATAGAGGAGCAAGTTAGGTTCACATCAAATACAATATTACATAAATAGAAAATTACAATAATGCACAATAATATCAACAAATAAAATTAATGCTAACTTGTGTGTGTCAAATCTACCAGCGACCATATAGACGTCTCCACAACCATTTAATACAGCTATGGGCCAGTAAATCAATTTTCGATCTACGGCTCGAGTGTTATCTGAAAACAATATAAGTAATTAAAATATTTTTGTTTATATATTAGTTTTTTTAATGATAAGTACAAATTTCCAAATTATCAAAAATCATTTACACAAAATATAATGAATTATAATAATAAATATTAGATAGCCTATAGACGACATCGAGCGTGTCTACTTTGGTTCAATAATTATCACTCTTGAATTCTAATTTGTTAGTGTAATATTTAGTTCTATAAAGGTGTCATTTAAGATCTTTATTTTTTAATATATTTTTATCGATAATGATTGGAAAATTTAGCGACTTGCTGGCTCGTACAGCAGTGTCACTTCTGCAGGAATACACTCGTACGAAAGTTAAATATTAGATTTTGAGTAAGTATATGTTAAATGTGACGTATTCATTGATAAATTTCCACGTGGTTTAGTTTATCCACGAAGACACCATTTATTCAATATTACCATTATATATATCAAAAAATAACAAATTCCCAAAAATATTCTAGTTTGAAAAGCGGTGAAAAGAAGCTGGCAGAACAAAATTCATTATCTTCTTAAAATTTAATTAAAATATTACAAAAAATATTCCATTCATTTAATCTTATTATTTTTTAATTTTTATTTTATTCTCATCCACTACTAATAATATGTAGGCAATATTGCAATTTTTAGTAAATTGCAATTTTAAGTAAAATTTCAAAAAATATTTAGTGGAATAAAAAATGACGTAAATGATCTAAATATATAATACTAAATTTGTTTAAAAATATCAATAAGTATTATCAAATTTACTAAAGAAAAAACTTCAATTATAACAATTATTTCAGACAATTTTAGATGCAATTTTTATAGATCCACGCCAATGATTATTGATTAAGGGATTAATATATATATATATATATATATATATATATATATATATATATATATAATCATTATTCGATTTAAATTAAATCTACATACCTGGACTATATGCCAAAACATTACCCAATGTAGAATCTGCAAATACGTTCATACAACTATGTTTTGCTATTGGAGAGTAATTTGTAAAACTTGTAGATTTATTATTTACAGGTTTGTTTTCAGTTTTGCATTCTGGGGGAAGAAAGTCAAAATCCACAGCAGTGTCCCCCAAACCTGCAAAATAAATATCAATAAAAGTGTCATACTACAACTGATCATGGAAAATTAAACTATTTGGTAAATGAAAATTAAATAAACACATTTTTTAACAATAATCAGAACTACGTATTCTATGAGCTGTATTTGCTATCGTACATCCTAATCTACTATTTTACTCGAGAGGGCAACCCAGTGGTCGACACTACATTTTTATGTGTAGATTATATATATATTAGATATGTATACCTATAATAATGTTGGCGTATATATGTTGAGATTATATTTGAGATCCGTAAACTCAAATAAAATTTTGATATATTGCTTGATATCGAGCTGGCCGAAGTTGGAATCGAACCTGGGGATAGTTTGCGCTAGCCCACGTTCTAAACTATATACCACTATGGGCTCTAAATAGTTACATGACAGAATGTTAAATTAAAAAAATGTTTAAAATTGAATTTAGAAATTAAAAAAATGTTTAAAATTTAAATACAAGCCAGCATTCTAAATCTCATCATACATACTATCAATAAAATACACCTAACAAACATAAGGTTGGCAACTAAGTAAGTGCGGATTTTACTCGTAGATGGTATTAATTGAGCTTTTAGGTTTGCTGACGTAGTACAAATGTAATATATCTTTTGTTATTGGAAAATCAGCTGACAATGTGTAAAAATGAGTATTTTGATCGATTGTGTACATTTCGTTTGATGTCCGTTGAAAGATAGAACATCAAATCGAAATTTTTCGTCATATTTTGTTTTTTAATTTCAAGGTAAAAAAGTATCTTAAGCTCACAAAAATGTATAAGCTGTTTATGGTAACGAAGCCCTAAAAATGGCAGTATCAAAATAAGTTTGCCAAAATTCGTAATTGTGATTTATCGATAAAAGATGAAAAACGCTCTGACTGTCCAGGTGAAGTTGATTCGTCTTCTTCACTCTTGCCACTTAACCAAAAGATCAATTCTGATGTCTGCATTGAATAACTTGACTAACAAAAAAAAAAAAAAACAACGCAAAAAAATAAAAAAAAAGACAAATCCAAGCGGTGATTTTTTCAATTATCACATATTTTTGGGAAAATTTTGTGCTTGGTTGGGATGTTTTGCACCATATAGTCTTGACTTTGCACCGTTTGATTACTTTTTGTTTCGATCTTTACAAAACTCTATGAATGGTGAACAATTCCATAATTATGATCGCGTCACATTGTACCTGATTCAGATTTTGCCAGTAACAACCAGAAGTATAAGGTGACAAAAACCATGCATTGCACAAAAGTTATTTGGTTTCACAAAAAAGTCCTCGATTTTCTAACAAAAACCCGCACTTACTTTGTTGCCAACTTAGTATTTTTCTAACTTAATGCTCTTTTAATTTCAGCTATATTACTTTTAACTTCAACTCAATTAATACAAATAATGGCAGTAATTACTACATATGCACGTTAATTTGTATATTCATTTTAGCCGTTCTTTGTATAATATTTAATGTAGTATTACTTAGAATTATATTATGGATTTAATGTTCTTCGGGATCTACTAGTCTGTGTATAATAAATAAAAATTAACATAAATTCAATATAAAAATGTAAGTAAGTCTAATATATTTCATAAAAATAAAATTTATCTTCAAACCTGCAAGATATGGCAATTTTGACGACGTAGGTGGCATGGCAGTAGGTACAGGTCCAATTTGCCAAACCTGCAGCAAATTCACTCCCGATGAATCAATATTGTACCACCTGCGACATTAAAAAACATTAATTAATGCTCATCGATTAATTAATATAATCATCATTAATAATAATTATCTATATCTATTTAATAAGTTATTATTAATCAATCTTTATATGTAACCTCATTGTGTTCTCGGCTGTTAATATGAGCAGATGAGAATCGGTAATTGATCCAGGATGCCATCGGGCTTGAACAAGAGCCGCCAAGGGACCGCTGGAGAAATATCGTTCGTCAACTGGCAGAGTTCTGAAAATAATAAAAACAAAGATTTTATATAATAGAAGAGATAATATCAACTTTTCTCCTAAAATCCTTAAATCCTTACATTATTACATCTTATACATTTGAAGCATTCTATGGTACTTCAATGTATAGCATACAGACAAATCAATTCATACATTGAATATAAATTTAGGCATCCCTATATTGCTTTACCACCAAGAGACCAATTTTTATCACTTAGATTTAATGCAAGTATTTATTTATTTACTTACTTATTTATTTATTTATTTATTTAACGCCCTTGGCATTAGTACAATGGATTTACATTTTATAATGTGCACATTATATGCTAAAGATAAACAAAATAATAAAAAGATATTTTAGAGTTCATAAACATCTTATAATATAATACATAATATTAAATAAAAAGAATAAAACAAAATATTCAACACTAAATAAAAATTACTGATTTTGATATCAGTATGTAACTTTAGAGATATGCAGAGCTTTCTGCAGAGATAGCAGACAACTCTTGATAAAATTAAATAGTTTTTAATATAATATTCAAGTGTTTTTTCATATCTGCTCAAAAAACACCAGATAAAAAATATGTAATTACAAAAATAATTTTTACGAAATAAAAGTTTCTGGTAAGAGGGTAAAAATTTAGGGCTATGTAGCTTTTCATATACGCATTATAAAAAAATAAAAAATAAAAATTGATGCAGAAATATAAATAAATTTTGTATTAGTAATATTTAACATATATATTTTATTTAATACGTATATTATAGAATAAGAATAATTTCGAAGTAACAAGTACTCCACCGTTGATTTAAAAAACATTGAAGTTAGTAATTTTTTTTTTAAATAATTGAAAACAAAATCTTTGTGATACAAAATACAGAAAGTTAATAATTCAAATTTTTTGAGATGCAGGCTTGAGGGCATTAAAAATATCAGTTGCATTCATTGTCATAAATTTCATTATTATTATTATTATATTATATTAAAATATTGGCTCGCATACAATTTCCAGAAAACTAGAATTATTTATAACCTTCTTGCTTGTAAAAGTCACTAATATAATAATTTTAAAACTTTATTAAAGCAATATTAGAACAATATTGGAATTTTTTTCACAAAAATATGATTTTTTTTATTAATAATATTTATTTTACTTATTTAATAATATTTATTTTTCTCAATGTGTAAATATATAAGAATAAGAATAGCTTCAAAATAAATAATCAAGTTTTCGAACAAGGATATAAAAAGTTCAAAGTTCTTGCAAGTAATTTTTAAATAATAATTAAATAATAAAATTTTAAATAGTAATTTGAGGAAAGGAAATTAAGCGAAAATTTTGAATTATCTGAGATGCAGACTTATGATCATTGAGCATAAGGTACTGATAGAATAAAAATTTTGTTATTTAAACATTCAAGCTTGCATAAAATTTTCAGAAAGTTAAATTTATGTACACCCTTATTGCTTGTAAAAATATTTGCATACTATCATACAGAAATGTAAAAATACATATATTTTAGATCAATATTTTAAATTTAACACACAAATAGCAAAATATCACACGCACGTTAATAATATTTTTTACAGAACCCATTTAACCGTAAATCACGATCCATTCACTACACATCACGTAAATACACAAAAAACACATATCGCCAATATCTCCACCGTGCCGCCGTGCGCGAATGTCATCCCAAAAAAACTTTTAAACTAAATAACAAACGAAAGCAAAAATATACATATAATAAAAATAATAAAAAAACGCCAAAAAATCATTCGAGTTGGTCTGTTTTCCGTCGTGACACGCGTTGGAAAAACGCATTTAATTGCAGATCCATTAAAGTCGGCACATTTAAAAACGATAAATCTTTTCGATAAAGGGGGCAATAAATTAAACAAACAGTGGCACCGCACTGCGAAGCGGAGGACCCATCAGAAATGGGGAGCTGGGGTCATAGAAATTTAATTTTTTTTTAATTACACATTTTTTAAATAAGCATCAACAATATATAATATTTTACTTACAATTCAACTAATTCATAATTTTTGATAGGATATAGGGCGATTGTGAGCAATTATACTGTGAAAACAAAGACAATTATATCATAACAAATAACACTTATCAAACAAACAACTATCTGACTATGTTCAGTAAAAATTCCAGCTTATTCATCATTGTAGAAATGTGTTTTTTTTCGGTTTTTCAAGAATTTGTAACCTGGTCTTCTTTACCCCACTGGCGGGGTAAATTGAGACGGCCAAGGAGCAAATAGATCCAATGTCATTTTTAATTTTAAAGGAAATTAGAAAATAATAGCTACAATATTCAACCAATGCAAAATATAATTTTTATAACCTTGATCTGGAATTTCGTCAGATATATTCATCAACAGAGTTGGCATAACTATTAATCTAATTTATTTCTTATAAAATTCCGTGTTTTAACTTACCCCATCCCCCTATGTACGCTTTACAGAGATCATATGAAAACATCTGTTAAAGCTTACTTAAAATTAACAATAAATCTTATGAAACAAGGGAATAACGTATGTATACCTAAAAATTATAATTAAAGTTTTGTAAATCAAACATTAACAAAAGTACTTTTGTTATAGATTTTCAAACAAACGTTTACCTCCTGATAGCGACTTTGCTCGATTTAAATCGATGGCTGGTTACACATCTTTTCCCCTCTACTTTCAAATATTGTTAAAAAATACCTAACTTACCTCGTTTCTGAGATGTTGGTGATGAACCTTTTTACCCGCGTACCTTTAAGCCCCGCTCTACCCTATTTAATAGATGGCAACCCAAACAGTTTTCCTATCTCTATGTGATGAATCTAATTATTTGAATACTGATCATTTTTGATTGAATGCATTGCTGCATCATTGTGATAAGGCTATATTCGCGGTAAGAGCTATATTCACTTGGAAACATATTTGTAACATATTTCTAAGTAAAAACTGATGTCACCACTGCTTGACATCGGGGCAAATTATATATATTATTAGTTCCAATAATCTATTGCTTATATAAAATTTAGTCCCAACGTTGCTTATATAAAATTTAAGTTGGCTGAAAAGGCTTAAATTCATTGAAATCTTTGTCAAGTTGTTGGTAAAAAAATCATTATTTTGATCTAATAAAAAATCTCAAATCAATTTATTACGCGATTAATTCCCTAGCCCGCTGTTTAAAACACACAGAAGTTAGAAAACGAGTAAAAAGTATCACAACGCAGTGTAAATTTCATCGAATGAAATACTTCAAACCGAAAATGGTGATATATAGACTGACGATGGTGGCATTAACAGTCGATGAATCAATATTATTCCATACAGTCCGGATGACATCGACCACAGCATAATAAATAACAATGATATGTGGATTTCCATTTAAATTTTTGCGGAATTCGGAAATTCGATTCGATCAGTCATTGGTGGATTTGGACAGCGATGACAACAAAACTTGCCCCAAGAGTATCATTTTTTTTCAATAACCAGTCATATTTCCTTAAGAATATACAAATGATTCCCAAAATTAAATCATATGTCTTAATATAGATACCTTAATATCGGAAATATCTTAAAACAGAGATTGAGAGAAAATGTTCAATGTATATTTTTATAGAAAAAGTAGACAGGGAATTAAGGGTCCATGAGTAAGAAGATTCACCAACACCATCTCAAAAACAGTAAAGTACAAAATTTTTCAACAATACTATTTTGAAGTAGAAGACTAAAGATGTGTAACCAAGAGGAAATAAGTGTAAACATATAAGAGACCAATTTTCGGATAATATAGAAATGTTATGTTACGGATCTATAATCTAACCTAAACCTAATCCCCAAAGGCACAAACGTCAAAATATTAATTTTGAACAGACTTCAGGTATGTGTTATTAATGTGATAACAGAAAGTTGCATTGATATTTGAAATTTGTATCTTTTTGGAGGTTAGATTTCAGATGCAGTAGGAGAAACAGGGTACGGTTGTGCAAGGGTACGGTAGTGACAGTCAATAGCTTAACTAAATTAATTTTGAGATAGAGTCCAAAGAGAGAAGAAAGATAGTGTATGTTTGTTCGAACAAGTTTCCATTATTGCTCTGAGATAGTACCTTACATTAACTTGATCTGTAAACCGCATTGTTTTTAAAAAGTCAAAAGTCAGTTTTCATGTTTGAATTCTTTTAATAATAACTGTTAATTGTATACAGATAGATCATTTTGTTTGTTATTTTGCTGTAAGTTAATTGCCAGCCATTAGTTTTTGCATAGATAATTTAGCTCAGTAATAACAATGATTTGTTTTTAAATGTGTGCTTTGGGTACGGTTGTGACAAATTTTGTGGATACGGTTGTGACGTGTATTTCTTATCCTTTTCGGGTGAAGATTGAACAGATAAAAAAATCTAACTTAACTAACAAGGAGAACCCCCGCGTAGTTCGTCTGAGATTTTGATGAAATTTGGCATAATGGTAGATTTTATGCCAATACTGACCGTGGTAAAATATTAGAGACCTATGAAAAGAGGTTTGATTTTAAAAATTGATTAAAGTTTGCATTTTAGCAGTTATAGATAGTTTGCAACGTACTCTCTTATCGTCTGAGATTTTGATGAAATTTGGCATAATGGTAGATTTTATGCCAATACTGACCGTGGTAAAATATTAGAGACCTATGAAAAGAGGTTTGATTTTAAAAATTGATTAAAGTTTGCATTTTAGCAGTTATAGATAGTTTGCAACGTACTCTCTTATCATTTGAAATGGGACCGATTCTGCCGCAGAACAGAAAAATGTTATGGCAAGGCCATGTTACGCTCCGACTTCCATACATTATGTTAATGAATCATACTGAATACTGTCAAAATGTCATGTATTTGCTGTGCATTGAGGAGTTTTACACATAAACTGCAACGTCACTCGTATGTTATGGAGCTGCATCAGAAACACACTGTTATCTAACATCGTTTTTTTGACATTTGTG